AAAAAAAAAAAAAGGATATTGAGATTCGGATGGATGCATCAAGAAGTAGCAATGTCTGTTACCTGCAGAGGTGTTACAAGAAATTTCATCTGTTGCAACGAAGACGAACTGATTTCTGGAAGAGAAGATAAAATTCACAATACTGCTCACGTAGGAGGAAATGTGCTCTCTGCCAATTGGTTCCATGTGCACAGAGGAGGGGAGGGAAGGGGGCTGCATCTGAATGCATGTGGCAAGGGCGTGTGCTGATGTACCTTGGACTTGGAGAGCTTAGAAAGATGGGGAGACAGGCATGCGGGACCTCTTAAACAAAATCATGAACATGTCAGAGTATGGACCATGTACAAGCTTTTGCATGAGAATATTAATGCTATGTGTGACCAAAACATCATGCCAGGATATGTTTCTAAGGTCAGAATAATCATGGATTTTTATGCTAAAAGGAGATTTACAACTAAAAAATAGGCTATCCTTAGGGAAAAGAGAATCTACAACTAGCTAGAAATAACATAAAATTCCAGACTTTATTATACAATATGCTATCCAAAAAGTACTTTTTAAAGAAGAGAATGTTACATGGCATTGGGTTATGGATAATAATTTTCATACCAAACTTGGCTGGCTATATGAAGAAGGCAAGAGAACTCATCCATTAAAATGAACCCTCTTTTGCTAAATTATTCTCAATGATGCAATATTGGAAAGAAAATAAAAAAGGAACACACTGTTTTAGTTTGATTTAGTAAATTCAGAAAAATGATAAAATTCTCTTAAGATGTTTCCAAATGGGACAATTCCATGATGTAATGTGTTCTAATTCATAGGTACTGCTAATTTCCCTAGAAATAAGAATATCTATGCCAGGCAGATTATAATGGTCCAGTGAGATTGACAAAGGTCCTGAATGCCTTAAAAGTATCAGGAGATATATGTTGGATTCTCATTTGTTAGATTTTACTATGCATATAGATTAAGAACCAAGATAAACACATTTTGGTCTTATTATGATTGGTTTTGTTCCAATGGTTTAGAAAATATTTAGTGATTGAGCATTTCTTAAAACATCTTAAGAAAGTTTTACTGCTGCAAGAAGTAAACCCTGGGCTATAAATCCAGCTATCATCTGAATACTCCCTACAATTTAGCATCAACTTAACATTCTAGCTGCTTTTGCACCAATAAAATCTAAACAAAATTATACACACTCTGAGAATAGTGATTCTTCTACTTATCAAAAGTCAAAACTAAATTCATTTATTACCTCTCTTAAAAAAATAAATGTTACCTTCCTTGGATTTTTACTATCTTTTTGCTCTGACACAGATTTTTGGAACCTCAGGATTGTCTGGCTTAAGCTACCCTAGGTTTGAGGAACACTCAAATTAAAGTCCCTGAAAATGAAGGAAATGTTTTGGTGAAATATGTGTTTTGACTTACCCATCTTCAACGTACTTAAAGAAAACAGTAAGACTGGCACCCCTAACATGTGTAATATTCTCAGGGTGCACCAAACAAGCACTTAGAAGGGCCTCTATCTGCAGAATGCTTGCAAGATCCCTACCATAACCAAACAAAGCAACCAGGTTTAACCAAAGGGCAAGGTCTTCAGAATGAGCGTTCACATATATATTGGGGTGGGGATAGAATAAATAGGTGGTTCTGTGCAATTTATATTCTTTAGTTCAAGTAGAGACTGCTAGCTTGTGTTTCATTTCTGTATGGTTCCCATGGAACTTTCCAGGGTGTTAAGCACACAGAAAGCTATTTGTAGATGAATGACGCAGATTTAAAATGGTGATTGAATGAACACACACCTTTCAAATGTAACCTACAAGTATTATTACAGAGAGATCAGACCCTTTTTTTGACTTCTCAATAATTTTATACAGTGTGATGGCATACTTCATAGTAATCTATTTGAAACTATGCATTAACTTTTAAAAATGAACATGTTTTTCTCTCTCCTTCCTTCTTTTGTTCCTTTGTTCATTTGTTCCTTCCTTCCTTCCTTTTCCTGATCCCCTTCACCTTTGGTAACCTAGGTATTTTGATCCTCCCTCCCCCCATGGTGTCTTCTTTTGAGATGGGTCTCAAAGTTGCCTGATCTGGACTCAAATTCCTGGGCTTAAGCAATCCTCCTCCCTCAGTCTCCTGAGTAGCTGGGCCTATCCCACAATGTTCTTATGATTTCTGGGGAAGTTTCTGAACAAATGGGATCACCTCCCCTGTGATAACTCGCTTTTCAAAAGACTTTGCTTAGGTGATTTCTATGGAGTAAAACAGAGTCATCAATCATGAGAATTAAAATATATCATGAACTCCACAGAAATACCAAAATGAGTTCCAAGGAGGTTTTTAAAATGGTAGCTATTGGTATGCATCAATTTTGTACTGTTTTATTTTTAAATTTACACAATCCCATTATATTTTAGGATGATCACCATTAAAATGTCAGAAAAGTACCTTTCTACAGAATTCATTAATTCCATGAAGTTAGTATGGGTGGCCATCCCACCCTCTAAACTATGCTTTTTATCAATTGATGGGGAGTGTGATCAATAAGAAAGTTCTGTGGAAGAAGGGACTGGGGAGAACAGCCCATATAACAGTGAAACAGAACCATATTAGAATTATAAGGGGGAGGCTTCGTGTTAGTGTCTATGCTATGCTATTTTATGTACAGTTTTATTTCTCTTGAACTTTAAGACAAACGCTCTATTGAGATGGCCCCTAAGTGAATTATCTATGAATCTCCCATGAAACCATTTACTCCAAATGTCCAGAGATATAATGATCAAAGATTAATGATGTAACCGAAAAGTTCACTACTTCCAAACAAGTTCAAGAAAAGTTTAATGAAGAGTGCATTGCAGGTGTGCTCTGGATTGTGAGGCCACTTCTGAGTAGGAGAAAGGAGGCCTGGTATCAAGGTCTTCGTCCTTACACTAACCCTGGCCTGCCCTTCACTGTCAATTATGACTCAGGGTTTAAGTTTCAAATACCACCTGACTTTTAGCAATGAAGTCAGTTGATGATAACAAAGTCTGACTATTTCCAACCTGGGTTGTACATTATGAGCATCTGGTAACTATCTAAAAATTCTGGAGACAAGGCTATGCCAAAGGCCAAGTAAATGAGAATCTCTGAGAATGGATTGCAAACAATGGTAATTTCCAGGTAATTCTCATGTGCAGCTAAGTTTGAGAATTACTTGTCTAGTTGAATGGCTGTTACCTTAGTTGTTCTTTGATTCACAGGGAGAGGTCGAGAAAGTTTTAATGGAGGGGCCCCCTTTGCGCTGGGTTGTGACTTCTGGCTTATCTGATCTGGGGTAGGGTATGAAAAATCCTCTAATTGTTAATCATGAGAACACTTAAGAAGCAGTGTATGAATGCAGAGTGGCAAGGGTGTTGAACTGCTGAATCACTTGCAAATTTTGCCTGTTTTTGCAACTTCTATTTGGTCAATGTGCTAGTCTCCAGGGCAACTTAGCTATGGAGACTATACAGGATGCAACCACAGAAGCCCAGGAAGGGTGTCCAGATGCGTTCTAAGAGAAATGACTTTACAGCTCATTCTGAAATGGCATTTTCTCTCCAGTAGCTGTAATGTCATACTCCCTGCCTCTTCCTCTCATTTTATCATTTCCTATAGCTTTATGCAAGGTCATCTTTGTTTGAGGAGTCTTTCCAGTTTTCCTCCTGATTCTGCATCTAATTCTGCCTTCATTAATTCTTTCACCAAGACTTCCTTTCTTTGGTGAACTAACTCCAGAATTTCTCAATTTTCCTTGAAGAATTACCTACAATGCTTGATAAAATTTAATTCATGAATTTTGACCATGATCACCCACATCAGAATTTCTATGAAAGAGGTCTGGTAATTGATACATTTAATATGAACCCAGGTTTGGTTACTGACCAACAAAAGGGGGACATTTTTCTCACTGTGTTTTACATAGCAGGTGTCTCTGGGAAGGAATTGTGACCCTAGTAACTTCTCACTGTGGAAAAGTTTAGGAAACCCTGTGAGAAATCTGCAAGTTCATTCCCATTGTGTTATCAAAGCCACTTCTCCCAGGAGGATGGATTGATAGGGGAAGGTTTTATGGGAAAAGGAAGAATGACTAATTTAACAGAAACAATGAAAGGGTTAAATTATTGACTCCAAATGGGGAAGACTATGTTTGTCTTGAGTCTTAGGAATGTTGACTTCAAAGGCTGCTATCTAACATTGATTGAGCATGTACCTGTGATAGGACATTAGTGAGTGTCATTACCATGAATTTGTTTACTTTTTCTTACAACCCTTCTTATGATTTCCATCTTTATAGGTGAGAAAACTGAGGCAATGTCACATGAGCTAGCTACTAAGTAGTAGAGATGAAATCTGAACACAGTTGTCTCAGTTCAAGATCCCAGAGTTTTAGAGGCTCTTTTCAGGGCCACACCCATGGATGCTGTTCAGTCAGCAGTGAGGGGTGAGGTGCATAGAGGCTTAGTGTTCTGAATCTTTAGCTTCTTTGAGACAAAACAATAGAGTATTTGGATTCCTCTTTGAATATAATTGTGAGTTGAGAGAAATCATTATAAATATATTCGTTTTAACATTGACTCATGATGAAGGAATGACATGTGGCATGTTCTTTCTCTCTCTTTTTATTCTTACATCCCCAGAATTCCTTATATTTTAGGATAGCTTTCATAGACCAATCATTTAGACTCTAGGTCTGACTCAGCTGGTGGTATATTTAAATCAGTCCTGTGGCTTGCCATATATCATCTTGACTTCTTACTTTTTTCTTAGGCTAAATCTCATCTCTTTGCAATTTTCCTTTAAAAATTGCCCACTGCTGAGTGTAGGAATCAAACAAAACAGTGGTCAGCCAGTACTGCTAGAGAGGATGTGAGAAGCCATATATAAAGTAAGAAAGGCAAATGCAAATCCATTCTGCCCGCAATCAAACAACTCTGGCTTTAAGTTTTGGTGTTAAAGATTCTTGATTCCTCTCAGTCTTTGGCTTCTCAATTCTGTTGTATTTGTATTATTATACAAAACTCAAGACTGATATCACTCATAACAAGAGTCTTATTTTATTGAATGCTTTTATTTTTA